CAACAAAAATCAACCTTGCGAAAATTATCGGCCCTGAATTAATTTTCAAAAACTATTTCTTCAGAGACGTGTCAACGTAATCGTGACACTAATACGGTTTAAAAACCCGCAGAAAAACAAACTCCATTAAAAATTTTCTCCAGTCTTTTAAAATACGGAAGAGAAAGAGAGAGAGAGAGAGAGAAAGAATTCAAGTTACGTGAAACACAATAGACTAAAAAAAAAAAAAAAAATTACACAAAAATCCACCGGGGGATCATTATTATTATTATTATTATTATTATTCAATAGACGTGTCGACCTTCGAATCAAAGGCACGCCTGTCAAGGTCGGAAATCTTTTTATAATCTTACGGTTCGGATTCGGATGCTGGATGTACCATTTTATCTCTCTCTCTCTTTTGAATATGGGGTAGTTTTTTCAGGTACCAACCCCGTATTATTAAAATAAATTTTTTTCCCTTTCCCTCCTCCTCCTCCTTTCCTTATCGTCTTCTGCTTTTTTTTCTTCTTATCATCGCTTACGAGACAAAAAAAAGAAAAAAAATGATATCAACTTTGTGTTGTGATAAATTGTTGAATCACGTCCTTTTGTTTGTTTGTTTGTTTGTTTGTTTACACTAACAACAGGATGCTGCTACTTTAGACATTCGAAAAATGTCTCCCCGTTACACAGGCATTATCATCATCATCATCATCATCAGCCTGTTTTTAATTTCATTGACCTAAACCCGTCATTTCTTTCTGTCAACTTCGAAACTTTATTTTTTCTAAATTAAATAATAATACGTCGATAATGCGTAATTCAATTTACCATTTCTCATAATTTAATTTTTCTCTCTTTCCCTTTCTCTTTCTCTCTCTCTCCCTCTCTTTCTCTCTCTCTCTCTCTAATAATAATAATACTAGGTCCTACGTCAACAACAACAAAAAGTTCTTGGTCTGATGACACGACAGGTGACCAATTAACATAACAAACGATTGAAAATTACTCAACAAAACGAAACGAAAACAAAAACGGGGGGAAAAAAAAACGTGGTCGGAATAAGTTCGCTTAATGACAGCAAATGAATTTTTTTTTTTTTTTTTATCAAGTCTTCCCGTTAACATTTTTTTCCCTTACGATCCAGATGAATCCAGGAGCTGGAATTTTCCCGAATTCGCACAAAAGCAAAAACGAACCTGTGCCTACGTCACGCGAGTAAATTTAACGTCGCGACGAAATAATTCATCCGGTAATTAAATAACTTTAATTTTTTTTTATAAATAGAAAATTAATAATACAAACCGGAAGAATGAAATGAATTAAACCCGGATATTGATTTCTACGAAATTATTTTAAAAATTTACGTTCGTTCGTTTTTTGTTTTTGCTATAATAAAAATCAAATTACGATTTTGCGGTCGGTTATTTACACTCCGTACGTTTCCCCCCCCCCTCTCTCTCTCTCTCTCACTGTGTCTGTGTATAAATTTATTAACAAAATATCAACGCGCGTTTAATAGTACACATAAATAAAAAATAAAAACAAAAACAAAAAGCAGAAGGCAAACATAAAAAAACATAAAAAAAGTTTTTACGACCACCGACATGCATTCCAATAAAAACCCATTAAAAAAATTTTCATCTAATAAAATAAAATAAAAAAATTATTTGCTGACACTCCAGAAAATTGCTCTCTCTCTCTCTCTCTCTCCATTTCAAATCCCGTGTTTTCCCCTACCCCCCCCTTTTTCTTTTTGTTTTATTAACGTGCGCTTCAACGATTTTTGACCTTCCTAATGTCTCGAGTGTGTGCGGGGGGAGGGGAGGGAAAAGGGGGGGAGAGGAATTAAGAAAAGATTCCAGAAAGAAGAAAAAGGAAAAAAGGAAAAAGGAAAAATGTTCGTTTCATTTAACCGATTTTATCCTTTGAAATTCTATGACGAAATACAATTCTCTCTCTCTCTCTCTCTCTCTCTTTCTCTTTCTCTCTTTCTCTTTCCCTCTCTCTCTTTTACTTTTATTGCGTGAAAGTTAAATAAATTCCAGCAGAAGAAAAAAAAAAATGACCGAACGGTTTCTCTCTCTCTCTCTCTCTTACGTTTACGTATTCACGTCACGAATTGTACGTGTGGACTCGAAATACAAGAGTCGACATCAATTTTTTTTTTTTTTTGCGTTTGTTCCAAAAAAAAAGAAAATCCCCTCCCACTTCCCCCCCCAAAAAAAAAAAAAAATTGGGAAAACCTGCGAGAGATGAAGCCTTAAACAAAAACCAATAATAATAATGATAGTTAAAATATAATAATAAATCCTTCTTTCGACTTAAAACTACTTTAACTTACTTTTTACCCCTTAATCTAAATTTAAAATCGATAATAATAATAATAATAATAATAATAATGATAATAATAAGAAACCTGACAATTTTTCGAAAAATTTAGTTCGATGACGTCATTTAAATTAAATTTTTTCTCCTTTTTTGTGAGTTTTTTTGTATCTCGAGGGCCAATTGAAAATGAAAGGCGACGTGAGAGAGAGAGAAAACTGGAATAATAATTTCCGCGTATACGTTTTATTAATTTTTATTTATTAATTATTAACTTTCGATTTTTATTCGTTCTAAGAAAATATTATTATTATTTTAAGGAAATCTCTCTCTTTATCACATGTTTCCGAACCGTTTTCCATTTCCCACCCCCATATCCACCCCCCCACCCCGAAAATCACGATTACGCGAATTAGAAACAATGAAAACAATCGAGAATTAAGATTTATTATCCGCGATAATTTATTTTAATGAACGCGCGCGAAACGTTTTTTTTTCTTTGATGGTCGTTTTCTAATTTTTCTTTTTCTGTAGCAAACGCAAAAGGACCTCTTTGCTACGATTAAAAACTACCCCCTTGAAGAAAAAGACATTTTTTATTTTTTCCAAAAAAAAAAAATTGATCAAAATCCGACGCGATCTTTTCAATTATTTGTTTTCTCTCGTTTTTTTTTTTTTTAAATTTAAATACAATTTAATTATATATCCGTGTAATTAGACAAAACACGCGCACACGCACACAACGTGAATTTTTTAATTTATTTTACGTGGTAGCAGAATAAAAAAAACGCGACACGACAAAATTTTTTTTTTGTTTTTTCCGTCGCAAAAATTGAGAGGTTTTATCGTATTTTATTTCATTGAAAATTTTCTATTGCACACAACGTTTCACCGAAAATAATAATAATAATAATTATTATTATTATTAATATTATGACGTCAATTTTTTTTTTTTTTTTACGTAAAACCATTCATTAGAACCCGCAAATTATAAAAAAACCACAATTGTATGTTAATTTATTTTATTTTTAATTTTACCTTTAATTATTGTTATTATCATTATTATTATTATTATTAAAAACCTGGAAACCGAAAGAAAAAGCAAAAAGAGAAAAAAAAATTCATACATTTTTTATAATAATAATAATAATAATAACAAATTACCCGGATACGAACCGAACCGATTTTCAATTAATCTTTGGAAAAAAAAAAAAAAAGAAATTTTTTCGGGGACTGCCTTTGCACCACCGGATACGATGTACCTGAATACCGAACCACAAACACCTGCCCCTCTCATAATTACTTTTTGAAAACACGTGTGCCAAAATTTTCGAAAAATATTTGATACGTTTGAAAAACTCAAGAAAAGAAAGAAAGAAGAGGAAAAAAAAGTTTTTCTGCCTTGTCTCTTTCTCCCTTTTTTCTCCTCCCTCTCCTTCTCCCCCTTCTTCCATTCCCCCCCGGGATAAAAAATAAATATTTTCTTTTCTCTTGTTACAAACATTTATTTCTTAAAATAATCATCATCTAGTTCGATATACGTGGGAGGCAAAAGAACCCAAACAAAATTTGGGATTTTATAGATCGCGGATAGATATTTGAGCCAAAAGTCGGAACGAAGTTGTAAACAAACAACACGAACAAACAAACAAACGAACGAACAACTTTGTTTTTTTCCCCCCCCCCTTTCCCTTGTTCCAATTTTAGCCACATGCATTGTATACACATATATTCGTTTCGTGTTCTAGAATCGTATCGTTCTGGAATAACAATAAAATAAATAACCGACAATTTGTTCGCGTTAATTACACCGTATAATAATAATAATAATAATGATAATGATAAGAGGTCAGAAGAAGTGAAAACCGTGTAAAAAAAAACATAAAGTTTCTTTTTTGTAATTACACGCGCACTCACGCACACACACACACACATACACATGCTAAAGTTCGATGGAACATTACGAAATTTTTTAGACAAAGTCCACACAGTTGAGGGGAATCCCAAAAATTTTCGATGTCGTAATAATAACGAAAACCTGATGAGACAAACAACGCCAGGACAAAACAAACAAGAGAACAAACACAATCGTAGTACCTTTATGTATCAAAAAATAATAATAATAACAAGAAGAACAACATTATCACGTACCTGATTTTGATATTAAAAAAAGTAATAATTATTGTCGTTGCTTTTTCCACCCCCCCCTCCCCTCTCCTTCCATCCCCCAAATGCAATCTAACAATGATAACAAAAATAATGAAATGAATGGTCATTTATTTAAAAAATTTGTTAAGTTTAACGACCTGACGAAAAGAGTCAAATAATAATGATAATAATTGATGAGATTGTTTTTTCTGTGCAGATAACAACATGAAAATATCAACAAAAAACTGGAAAAATTTGTTTGTTTGTTTGTTTGTCATAATAATCATAATCAAATCGATAAAGTATACATAATTAAAATTTTCAAAACTTTTCTTGTTTTATCAATCATTGAGTAAGTATTGAAAAATCAAATTTAAATTTGTATAAAAAAAAAAAAAAACTTAACAAACAAACAAACACACAAACATTTCCATTTTTTCATATTTTAAAAGAAAAAAAAATTTTTCTTTTAACGATTTGAAGGGGATTGTCAATATAGTGATGGATCATTTCCAAAATAAACTCGAATCGAGTTCAATTCATTAAAACAAAAACCAGTTTAGTTCACCCACATTTAAATCGACAAAATAACAAAACTTACAATTGCTGGGGTAAAAACATAAAATTTTCATAAAAGTTGTCATGAGTTTTATTATTCATTATTACACACATGATATGAAAACTCGATGAAATCTTTTGCCCAAACACAACAATATAATTATCGTGGTGGTGATGGTTGGTGGTTGGAGGGTGGTCGTGGTCAAGTAATAAAAAAAAGAGACAAATCCTTGTAAAACACACACATTAATTGCACCCCATTTTCCCAACTGAATAATAATTAACAATGTTTTTAATTACTCACTGTTTGAATGTTTCTTCATATTGTTTTATTTGTTTTCTAGAAAACTCATGAAATTCCGTGTAAACGTTTTTAACTTTATACATTGGCTTAACATCTTCTCCCTCGTCTAGTGCATTATTAATTGCTTGTCTTCTGTTTAAAATAAAACTTAATTCGTTATCCATTGGCATTTTCTTACTCTTTGATAAATAAATAAAAAAAATTCAATGGATTCTGCAACAAAAAAAAAAAAAAAACAGAAAAAATCAGTTATTACGTTATGTTACGTTACCATCCGTTTAAACAACATAAATTTTACACACCTGAAATTATAATTCCAACTTGGAAAAATTTTTTAAAACGATAAAAAAAAAAAAAAAATGTAAAACGAAAATAATTATTGTAAAAACACAAATTTACCGGTCACGACAAACTCAGTAACAACAACAAACAAAAAAAATTAATACTTTTATATATTCTCCCCTAGTGATTCATTCAACTATGCACCAATGTGTTCAACGTTATTGTTATTATATATATATATAGATGTTTAACTTGATCGAGAATTTTTTTTAATTTAACAACGACAATGAGCGCGCTCAACGGATTTTTTTTTGTTAATCTAACGCGCATGCGCAAATCTAACGCTCAAGCTTGTTCTTTTTAATCGTTGCGTTTTCTTTTTGTTTTGAATTCGATGCGCGCCATTTTTATTCATCGTCTGTGATATGGAGTGCCAACTTAAAATTTGTCGTTTGTGATACGGGGTACCAACTTAAAATTTGTCGTTCGTTTTTAAAATAAAACAATACCGAAAATTGTTTTCGTTATCTTCGTGTATTATAATCATCTTGATCGTTATTATTATTTGTAAAAAGATCTTTTTTTTGTTTAAACAATATAATAATAATAATAACAATAATAATAATAATAATAATTGTTCATGACAGAAGATAAATACGAATAAAATAGTTTTAAAAACTTTTTTTTAATAAAAAAAAACCGTTTTTTTTTTTTTAACAATGGCGGAAACGATTGTTCATCGATTTCATCGTCCTCTTTTACCAAAAAGGAATTGTTTTATGTTTGTTTAGTCGTTTGTTTGTTTGTTTGTTTTACCTGCGGTTTATTACCCCAATTTTAACCCCTTTTAAAAAAAAATATTTTTTTTTAACGGGGGAAAAAAAAAAAAAAAAAAAGTTTTTGTGGAAAAATGTCGGAATTTTATTTATACAAATTACTATTATTATTATTAATACAGTTTACCGTTTAAAATTATAAAAAAAAAAAAAAGGAAACAAAACAAATTTTTTTTACTTTTTTTCGCGTAATTATCAAAGGAAAATTTATCGATTTAAACAAAAAAAAAAAAAAAACTTTTTTTTTCTAAAGGAAAATTTTAAAATCTTTCATTTTTCATTACGTAAATTTATCTCCCAACTCAACAGGGCAAACACTGCCGGAAACCTTTGAAAAAAAAAAAAAAAAAAAAAAACTTTTTCAATTTAGATTTTAAAAACAAAAGGTTATTATTATTATTATTATCACGTGATGGATTTTTACCTTTTTAACAAATGAAAAACTAAATAATTTTAACGTTAGAAAAAAAATTTTTTTTTTTTCGAAAAATAAAAGAAAGAGAGAGAGAGAGAGAGAGAAAAGAAACAAGAAGAAGAGAGGGGAGGAAGGAGGGAAGGGAAGGGAAGGGGGCAATGGGGATTTCAAAATAACATTTCACAATTTATTATTATTAGTATTATTATTATCATTACAAAAGTAAATTTCGTCTGACAAGTTAATAATTGTCTTAATAAAATCGACATTTGAACTTCAAATGAAAGTTTTTTTTTCTTTTTTTCTTTTTGCAATTTGGAATGAATTGAAAAAGTTACGTAATAATATTATTATTATTAATAATAATGATAATAATGATGATAATAATAAAAGTAATAAAAATATTTTGTTTTGTTTTTTTTTTCTTAAAATAAATTTAATTCCGCGAGGGAAATTTTTATTTTATTTTATTTTATTTTTTAAAATTTTATTTTTTTCTTTTGACGTAAACAAAATTTAATAATAATAATAATAAACGAAATAGAAAATTCGAGAACGTTTTTTTTTCTTTTTTTTTTTTTTGGTTTCCTTTTATGCGAATTTAATAATTTTTTAACATTAAAAAAAAAAAAAGGAAAGGAAGCCATTTTGTTTTTTTCCTTTTTTTTGGTCTTACAACGTTTTGTATTTTCTCATATTAAAAAAAAAAAGAAAAATTTAATAATTTGAATTAGAAAACAAACAAACAAACAAACAAAAAGAAAGGTTTTTAATTTAATTTAATTTAATTTTTGGTTGTTTTGGTTGTTTCGATTGTTGTTCTTTTCGGTTTACGTGCGTTAAATTAAATTTGTAGTTAAAAAAAAAAATAAAAAAACTTTTAATTAATTAATTTAAAACTTACCTTTTGTTTTTTTTTTTACGTTGGTACAATACTGTTGTTGTTGTTATTTTAAATTTATTAACTTTAGAAATATAAAATTGAAAACAAACAAACAAACAAACAAAAATTTCATTTATTTATTTGTCGGATTTCGTTTGTCTAACGAACACGACAACCACATCTCCCATAATAATTTAAAATCATTTTATTTGAAAAAGTGACATCTATCGGATTATTTTTTAATCACATAAAAACTATTTTATACGTTTTAATTTTTTTTTAACCGATAGATGACGTTAGTCGCTGACTTTATACGTAATCGTAATGGCGGATGTAAAAAAAAAAAAAAAAGAAATTCTATTGTAAAATCGATGCCGTAAAACCAAACAAATTTTATTATTATTTATTTAATAGGAGGTTATTAAATACGAATGAGAAATACCGGAAAAACTATAATTTTTATATATATAAATATAAAAATTAGTAATAATAATAATAATAATAAAAAAAACCATTAAAGAGTCTTTTATCCGTTATTGTGATGACCTCGCCCTGGTTACTTTTTTTGGATTTTAAAACAACTTTTACCCTCCATTAAAATGCTTGAAGGAATAAATACTAAATGACTTTGTGTGTGTGTGTGTGTTTCGAAATCATTGTTAAATATTTAAAAAATCTTTTTAAAAAAAAAAAAAAAAAATATTACCAACTAGTTTTTTCCTTTTTTTTTTTTATTACGAGATACAAATAATTTCAACGAACCCAAAAATTAATTTTTTTTTTTGTTAATTGAATCATCATCATCATCATTACTTTACTTATTCAATCGTGTTTCCTTTGATTTCCTTTTTTAATAAAAATTTAATTAAATTAATTATCCAAATAAATTTTTAAATGTTTACATCATAAAACAAACAAACAAATAATTTCAATTAAAAAACAAAACTAAAATTAATAATGATAATAATAACAAGAAATTTCATTGTCAATTTACCAAAAAATAATAATAATAATAATAATAATAATAATAACAAAAGGGTAAAATTGTTTCGAAACTTTTCAATTTTTTTTGAAACAATTTTTGAAACTTTTATTTTTCCCCCTCGCTATAAAACGCAACTTCCACCATTTTTTTTTCAAATTCGTTTCAAAAATATAATTAACAACAACAACAGCAAACGACAAACAACAAACAATAAACAACAAGCAAAGTAAAATATTAATCTAACAAAATAATTTTTATTTATTTAATTATTGAAAAAACGTTTAAAAAAAAAAAAATGGCGAACGGAAAAAAATTCGTTATTTTTAAAATTTATTTATTTAATTACGTAATTATAACAACGTAAAACAAATTACGTAATCATTACTTACAATAAATAAATAAATAAGTATTATTATTATTTTTTCATTAATATAAATATAAAATAAAAAGAGTCATTAAATAAATAAATAATTAAATAGAAATGATCAGGAAAAAGAAAAAACTCTGTTGAATCATTTAACCGTTAACAATGATGATCCCCGCCCAAACGTATAATAGTCCGACAAATAGCGCACTCAAACGTTTAAATTATAAACTAATCTATTTTTATAATATGGTGGCGTCGGCGTTTCAAGGTCAACTCGAATGTACATTCCGTCCTTGTCCGTCGTCGTTTTATTTATTATTATTATTATAACATCTCATCGTTCAAATGTTTTTTAAATTAAAAATAAAAACCTTTAAAAATTACTTATTTTTAAAAAAAAGCATAAAACTTTTCATTTATGACGTCATCAATCAATAAATCGATAATGTTATTACGTTAATTACGTAAAGAGAAATAAATAAATAAATAATATTAATAATAATAATACGTTTGTATGTATAAATGGTTGGTTTCCTTACACGAGTAATTTCGATCATGCGCGGTTTGTGATAAAAAGAAAAACTGGGGATCGATAAGAGATTGGAAAAAAGATGGATCCCCAACAAAAAACAAATAATAAATAAATAAATAAAACATTTGATGAATAATAATAATTATAAACAATAAAAAAAAAAAAAAATGGAAGTCGAAACAATTTTTTTATAAACAAATAAATAAATAAATAAATATTTCGCGGTGTTGGTTGTTGTTTGTTGTTGTTGTTGAACAACCTTATTATTAGTGCTATCATCATCATCATTATTATTGTTGTTATTAATTTATTTTTATCAAGCAGAAGAAATAAAAAAAAAAAAAAAAGAAAAAAAAACGTTTTTTTTTCTTTTTTTTTATTTTATTTCTTCTGCTTTATAAAAATAAATTAATAACAACAATAATAATAATAGTAATTTTATACTCACTTCCGGTTTATGCCTCCATTTTTTTTTTTTTTTAAAATCCTGTTGAAAAAATAATAAAAATGGCGTCGTCGATTTTTTATTTTTATCCTAACTTTTCTTCTCCTTTTTCTTTTTCTTCTCGTTACGTAAAGAAATTTTTTAATTATTTAATAATAATAATAGAAACCGTTATGATACAATTCAATCATAAAATAATTACAATAATAATAATAATAATAAATTGATTGATTAAAGAAAAAACCGGAAATGAATAATGCGTATCGGAAAAACGAAACGAAACAAAAATTTATTGTTTATTATTTTTAACTATTAATATTATTATTATTGTGTGTGTATTTTTTTTAATGGAAAACCTAAACGTTTAATAAATAATCACGTAAATATTATTATTATTATTATTATTATTATTGTTATTAATAAAA